AACGTTATGAGTGGATACAATGGAGAAACGATTGTGTGAAGCAGCCGAGTGAATAATAAATAACTGGCGAAAGTAATAGCTAATGTCGGCTTGCGAATGTTGCTGAACGATCTAGCTACCGCAGCTTAGCGTCACTGCCTGCCTGCCTGCCGTATTGGTTTACAAAATAATTAATACTTGGATGGCGTTTTCTACTGTTAGTGCAAGTAAGAACCCCGTTCTTCAGTTTATACACAAATAAAGGAGTGAGCATGTGTAATGCTACACCAAAGTAAACTACTCACCTATCACAAGGATTCCTATTAATCTTATTATCCCTAACTCCATCTCTGAATAATTCTGTAAAGAGAAATACACTTTTTTCAGTAAAATGTACTACGCACATTAAACACATTTACACAAGCTAGGGATCATAATTACATGCACTTACACATGTATTTCGTCCGCATCAATATCAATTTATTTTACATCTTGCACTCACTTTTCTATCTATCTATATCTATCTCTCTGTCTGTCTGTCCGTTCTTCTGCCGTCTGGCCGGCTGTCGCACCACTCTTCTGTCGCGTCCATCCTTCCATCTCTCTTACTCCTCTCCCCTCTCTCTCGTACACACAACACACACAACACACACACACACACCACGCACACGCACGCACGCACGCACTCACTCACGCCACGCACGCAGCCGCACACACACAGACACACAGACAGACCACACACACACACGCACACACGCACGCGCGGCGCGCACGCACGCACGCACGCACGCGCACGCACGCAACGCACGCACGCACGCACACACTCGCACACACATATGTAGATTATAAAATATATTATATATATATCACACACTCACCACAAATACCGCAGTCATATAATAAATACCATGCACACACATAATACATTATCGTACTAACTATACCTAGGACTTGTTTTCCGATAAATTTAGGCAGAATGGCAAAGAATGTATACTTACTAGTAAAATATTTGCTAAGTGTGCAGCTAGTAAGGCATAGACTCCACCTGAAGCTCCAACTAGGTAGACGTCTCGATCAAACACAGACGTCCCCAGTGAACCTGCCGAAAAGAAACACACACACACACATATGATTAAAAAACTCCCCGACTCGTCAATCGCACATCAATCGAGGATCATTTAATCTATCGAGACATAACGGCTATATACGCACGTTTTAGAAAAGATTTCCGAGAGGTGTCACCACTGTGTAATCCTCGCCTGTCATGTTGGTAGTGCCAGTCTTATCAAATTTGGGAAAGTAAGGCCATAATTCAAGAGGCGCATGCAGAGCTCACACACTGGTTGCCATCTTAGTCAAACACATTGAGATATGTCGTTTGTGTAACACTCTCCACTACGCCTCTTTACTCTTTACAACCTCTCTATCGAGCTGTTTCGGGCAATGTTTTTCCGCAAGCCCGCTCGATGCGACAAGACTACTTCACTAGTTCCCTATGTTAGGTGAAATCCGAGCCGTTACCCACGTTTACACCCGAACATCACAGTGTAACGTTGAATTATATTTGAATGTATAAAAGATGATATAGAAATCCAAACTTGTGTGGTAACCTGAATAAACTTTAATATATGCTCGCACACAGTGTGTCCATCTTGCACAAAGGGACAAAGAAACGCGCACACGCGCGTAAGCGCGTGTGCTTACTCTCGCAGACACAACTAAGCTCCCCACTCCTACATGTCTGTCTCCCTCAAAACCCCCTGCCATGTCTAAACTCGATCTACATCCCTATTTCACAATGACTCGAGAATCTGCCTAACCTAAAACACGCTTATCCAATTCCCTGTAACATCAATGCGGCCACACAAAATGCGCGACGCTGTGTCTAGATAGACTATTACTAAAACAACCCCTAGTCTAACTTCACTAACTAGACTACTCTATGTAAACATCTATAAAACATATGTTACAACAGTAAGATAATAATATGTTAATAATATGTTAATAACAATTATGTTAATAATAATAATAATAATAATAATAATAAGGGACGCTCTAAATATATAGTCGGGTATTCCTCCCAGAGTATGATAATACTCTCTGCTAGGACGCAAGTGTTTATGTAAAGGAGTCAGTTACTCCTCTAAGAGTGCGCCATTAATCTGCAGAGTTACTGCATAAAGGACGGCCTATACTCCCGGGGTACGATATTACTCTGCTGGGACACACGACTACCTGAGCACGTTGAGTTGTGAGCTTTGAGTTGTGAATTTTTTTTTATAGAACTACGCTGCCGTGCGCAGTGCGCGCAGCCGGAAACATAAGAAACAAACGAAATAGAGGGAGCGGAGGGAGAGAGGAGAGAGGGGAGAGGGGAGATGGGAGAGAGATAGAGAGAGAGAGAGAGAGAAAGAAGAAGAGAGAGAGAGAGAAGAGAGATAGAGAGAGAGCGGAGCGGATGAGCAGAGATCTGAGCGATTGGAGAGAGAGAGAGCAGGAAGCTGAGAGAGGAGATGATGGGCACTCTCGGAGCATGAATGGACCGGATCGGTCTTGGAGCGAGAGAGCGAAGAGAGAGAGGGAGAGAGACGCGGAGAAGGGGAGAGTAAGAGATGAAGGAGAGAGAGAGAGAGAGAGAGAGAGAGAGAGAGAGAGAGAGAGGGTGGGTGAGGGAGCGGTGGCGGAGGAAAGAAGAGCCGACATGGCGGAGAGACGGTTACATTTTTATCTCGCTCGGCAAAAAGCACAAGGGAAACGGAGCGGAACACGGCGAGCGACCTCGCTTTTCGAAAAACGGCAAAATGCTAGGCGAATTTTTCTCTGCGGTAGGAATTTAGTTGCTAAAAATACCGGGCCTCGCGCGCGTGCGCCGGCACTATAGAAACAACAACAAAATAGACTAGAGAAACCGATGAAGCTGCTAACTGCTGCTGCACCACCACCACTGCCACTAGTACTACCACTGCAACCACCGTTGCTGCTGTTGCTGTTGTTGCTGCTGCTGTTACTACTGCCGCTACCACTACTGCTGCTATTGTTGGTGCTGTTGTTGTTGTTGTTGTTGTTTTCGTTGTTGTTGCTGCTGCTGTTGGGGCTGTTGTTGTTGTTGTTGTTGTTGTTGTTGTTGTTGTTGTTGTTGTTGTTGCCACTGCTGTTACTGCTGCTACTGCTTCGTCGTCGTCGTCGTCGTCGCCGTCGTCGTCGTCGTCGTCGTCGTCGTCGTCGTCGTCGTCTTCTTCTTCTTCTTCTTCTTCTTCTTCTTCTTCTTCTTCTTTTTGTTGTTGTTGTTGTTGTTGTTGTTGTTGTTGTTGTTGTTGTTGTTGTTGTTGTTGTCCTTCTTCTTCTTCTTCTTCTTCTTCTTCTTCTTCTTCTTCTTCTTCTTCTTCTTCTTCTTCTTCTCCTTGTTGTTGTTGTTGTTCTTCTTCTTCTTCTTCTTGTTTGTCTGCTGCTGCTACGGCGGTAGTAGTGGTTGTACTGCTGTTGCTGCTGCTAGTTGTCGTGGTACTGCTGCTGCTACTACTGCTGCTGCTGGTGGCGGCGGCGGTGGTGGTGGTGATGCTGCTGCTGCTGCTGCTGCTGCTGCTGCTGCTGCTGGTGGTGGTGGTGGTGACGGTGGTGGTGGTGGTGATGCTGCTCCTGCTGCTGTTGTTGTGGTCGCTGCTGCTGCTGCTGTTGTTGCTGCTGCTGCTGCTGTTGGTGCTGCTGCTGCTGTTGGTGCTGCTGCTGCGTGTGAATACCCACGGTGCTGCCGTGCGGCGGGCGATAGCCTTTGCCAGGCAGCGCAATCTCCGCCGGGGTTTTGTTTAACGAACGCCTGTAACGTTTCGTCAGCGCATCGCGTAAATAAGAGCGATTCGCAAATTACAACGACAATAAACAGCGATGCCGAGAAGCGCCGGCTAGATCTGCGGCATTGGCAAGCACGCACCCATCCTACACGGATGGTACGCGCACGCAGGAGCTCGTAACTCGGTAGCAGCCAAGCAACACAAATACCGAATTCTGGACGCGAAAGATAACAGCAGAGTGGCACGCAGACATGTGTCAGTCACGCCCCATCCGAGAGTGGCGTCGCCCATCAAAAGGGCTTCCGGGTGCTCTCGTACGAGCGGAGATGAAAGATGCCTTCCACACCGACGTGGGAAGCTTTGATTGATCTAACGCGCGTCGTTACGCGCTGGCGGGCTCACTGAAGGAAGGCACTGACAGATAGTTTAACCTCTCGTCTGCCTGGCTGCGTTAATGGCCGGAGATTAATTCGTTACACGCGCCCTATAAATCTAAAAACTCGGCCATTTCTGCGTTGCGGGATAGGGTAGAAAGTTTGACCTAGGGCTGCAGGATAGAGACTGCTCTGCCCTGCTGAACCGCTACCACAACCCACAACCAGACACTACCAGCTATGGTCGCGGCTTCTCAACGCCACCAATAACGTTGCAGTAGTTACTTGTAGCAGCAACTCAACTGCTACATGCATAAATAGCATAAATTTGCATTCTCATCAGAAGGCGCATGAGAGCTACTACGTGATACGCCAATACAGACGTGCACTGCTGGATAGAGACTGTTGCTTCGTAGGCTTACGTCACGTGCTAGATACATAGCGCTCGTAACAAAACACCCTTTCACTTGCATGGCCCTCCAGCATGGCCCTCCGACCATTAACGATTACCGAACACCCTAATGCTGACACAAGAGCGTAATTCAGTAACATGATCCATGGCTGTGTCCAGTGTCTCAGCGTGGTCACCCGCATTAATTGCGGCCCTCGCTGATTACCGAGCCGAGTAGACAGCGGTCAGTCTGTAACACAACACCTTCGCCCTACTCCGAATTTCGTCTCGGGCTATCACAGGACAATGCGATGGCAGGGGAGAACCAGGGGGTTTCACACTATTCTGCCGCATTAGAGTATATCGTGTACTATCTACGGCTGTTGTTGTTGTTGTAGCCAGGCGAATCTCAGGTGCTAGCCCGCAGGGGCTTGAGTAGGGGGAGGGTACTGATTAACCCTTTGTGGCTCAATAACTCATCAGGCTTAACGAACTCTCGCGTAATTACACAGCGGGCTGCACGTGGGAGGGTGTTGCGTTCGAAAATTATTGCCAGCCGGCAGTGGTCAGCTTTTGTAAACCATATAATACGGCCAATGCACACAAGAAAATGCTAGGGTAGAGATGATGCGGGAATGCTCTCTCTCTCTCTCTCTCTCTCTCTCTCTCTCTCTCTCTCTCTCTCTCTCTCT